TATAGAATACATTTCAATTACTGAAAAAAATCATAGAAGACTGAAACAAGAACCCAGAATCATAACTAAAAGGTTAGCAATAGTAATTTTCATACACTTTTTTCATCAAAAATTAATATTCTCTGTATTGCAGTATCCTTACCACCACAATAGACTGTAGCTGCCATTGGAATTTGCTAATAGAATAGAAACCCCATAGTTTAGTTTCTCAGGTTTCACAATTAGAGTGAAGTAAATTAATAATCTTTGTTGGTTCACATCACTAAAAATTATTAAGCAAAACTTAAATGTAACGGATAGAAATTGAAGATAAAAATATTTCTTAATAAGAAAAGAGAGGAACTATGCAGGTATTCAGTTTACACACGCTTTTTAAAGATAATGTCCTTGTCAAGTTTGTGCGATGACACCTGTAGCACATTAGAGTTTGTGGGAATCTCCATAGGAAGGCAGAGAACAGTTTCTGCTTCCCTCACGTACTTTTTGTTTCAGTGATTTCTGTTGCTGCATTTTATGCTGGTATACATGTTTTCATGAGAAAACACAGAAAAGTTTTGTTGATGTCAGTAATATCTGGTGCAAATGAAACTCCCACCTGTGGAATCAGCATCAGGGTTCAGGTTGATATCAGGAAGATAGGTTGCCAAGAGGGAGCACACCTGTAACATGGCTCAGCAAAGCACAAAGTGGTTGTCTGAGCTTAAGGATATCTCCCAACCATAATTGTGGGGGCCCTCAGAAAGGCTCTTTTTAAAGCCCTTTCTCAGAGTTTGTTTGTTTGTTTGTTTTTTGTTTATTGGGTTTTTGTTTTGTTATGTTTTGGCTTTTGTTTTGGGTTTGTTTGTTTTGGGTTTGTTTGTTTTTTGGTTTTGGTTGGTTGTTTGGTTCAGGTTTTTTTCCATAGCTTTCTTTTTCAAGGCTACACAGTTACAGAACATCAGAGCTGTCCCGAAATACAAGACAGCTAAAGCCCTAGATTTGGGAGATCTAGGGAGGTGGCCTCACGATCCTGACAGAATCACTTTGGATGATGTGAATTAAAAATAGGTCAAATTTATCGTGCAATTAAGTACTCATAACAATTAGAAAGTCCAAGGTTTTACTTCACAAATGTATTCTATTTAGCAAATTCAAGGGAGAGACTAAAACTTAACAATCTATACAGCTGGTCAGTTTGCTGTGCTTTCTCTTAGGCAAGTGTAGGCAATATGAGGGAATTTAATGGGTGCAACTGAGCTGAGCTATGTTTACCAAGTAAACACAACACAAAAGCCCTACTTAATTCTATACTTTTTTGTTCTTCCATGTCTCCAATTACATAAGCGTGCTGGAGTAAATCCCAAAATCACAAGAACAATCATTTAGGACAGTTTTGATTCCATTCCTTTAAAAAATAGTATTAAAGGTAAGCAAAAGTACTTTAAAGACATCAAATGATGACACCTACTCAAGCAAATGAGAAAAGATGCCCAGTCTGGATTCTTGCAAATAAATTGTTCTCTCAGCTCTTTCTCCTATGGGAAAAAAAAGCTTTTGACTTTTTAAAATTTTTTATTTATATGGAGGTTACATTAGTACTCTCTTCACCATTTTTTGTATTAAATTAAATTATTTTATTGCAACGAATTATCCATGTGTGTTAGTTTATCATAATAGCAGGTAGCTTAATTTCCTGGTTAACTACTAGTTCCTGAAAAATCCTGATGCTTGTACCCAAATCTACTCTGCAATGGGAAATAAAGCACATTCAAAGTGATCATTGCAATGTATGCTTCAAAAGTACCCACTTGATCTGAACTAGAGCACTAACATAGATACTTATAATTAATTTTCTTTTGAGATTCCTTTTGGGGTAAATCAACTATCTGTGTTTGAGACAACTACAAGGAAGGTTTGAACATAATTTGCTATGGTCATTTCCTAACAGCAGTAAAAATGAGACCAGAGCCTGACTTTTACCTGTGCTACCAAACAGGCATGAATGTTATCCTATGAGACTTGTAACCTTCAGCACTTTCTTATTTTCTTGTGCAATGTCTCAGCACAGGAAATGCATAATCTTTAATGATATGCTACAAACAACAACAAAAAAAAAAACCTCAAAAACCAAAAACCAAAACTTATTTGATGAGGTAGCACATGATCAAAACTGTATTTCAGGATTTAGCATAATACGGTTTTTTTGAAAGTAAATTGGATTTTACAAATTACCTTCAGTGTGAGAGCCTAGGAGTCCTTAAATTCTAAATGAAGGGCAGTAATATCCAATGAGAGGGTATATTTATCTGCTCCAGCAAAGTCAAAAGTATGTATCTGATTCTACAAATACACAGTTTTTTGAATTGTTCTGGATTCCTCTTGAAACAGGCAAGTAGCTATCATATCTCTCATATCACTATCAGTAGCATGTACAAACCATCATATTGTAATGACTTACCAAAACAAGACAAAAAATTAGGCAGACTTTTCATGCAGATAAAAGACATTTATCTACTTGCTGATATGTGTACTTTGTTTCTTCTGAAAACCTGTGAGGTAGCAATTAAAAACTAAACTAAAACACACTGGCACAAAACAATCTGGATTAGACAGTGTGACATTGCTCAGGAAGCTGTGGAAGCCAAGAATATACTGAGTTTCTAAATAGAACTGGATGTTTATGTGGATATAAAAATAGTTGGAAAAAACTTGGAAGTGATCTGATATTTGACCAACCTGTAGTCATTACATGAAACCTAATCACATATATCAGAAGCTGCTTACTGGTATTCATGAAAAGGGTAATGCTTCCTCCAGCCATGCAATATTAATTCCTATTGAAAACAGGTTGCAAGACCAAGAGTAAATTCCAAGTCTAACTCTTGCTGAGCAATTAAAAACAAGAAAAACTCAAGACAAAAAAGTTGTTCCATTTCTATCAGTGCTATCCATGTGGTACTATTATGAACAAGACCCCCTGGCAAAGGGCATCCCTATGTTATGCAGATATACTCTGAGCTGGAATAGAAGTTGTAGTAATAATGTTGTAGTAATAATGTTAAAGATTACATTCTCTGGTATTTTCATCTGTGCTAGAATTGGTCAGCTTTAAACTGATGGCAACAATGAGAAAAACACAGTAATTTAAAGACTGCTTCTTTGCCAGACACTTCTCATAAATACATTTTGTCCTTCTTCTTTGGGCTGTGGCATGTTCCAGTAAAGTTGCCTAAGTGCCTTCAAGATTCTGCAGAGATCTTAGTGTTCAGTTTGGTTTCATCATCAGCAAAATCCTTTCCACAAACAATGAACGCTGCAGTATTCCCTGCCAATGGCACACAACAAAGTCTATTTTTGTTATAGCCTGAGGTGCTTTTCCACAGCAGATCAACATTCATCATTTTCTTTTCTGCAATTTTTTCTGTCTTGCAGTTTCATTCAGTTATGCGACAAACCTGTCTCTTGACATGACTGATGGAACTGGGTGTGACGCCTCACATCACCCACTGTAATACCTGGCCAAAAGATAGTTTGCAGGCATAGATTTAAGAAGAAGAAAAACGTATTTGCCCCATTTACAAGCCTTGTAAAACACTTTCTAGTCTGTACCAGTTAGCAACAATATTTTAAATAACAAGAATGTTCAGAAGTAGGCAAGGAATTTCTCATACTAACTTCAATTCATTGATTAACCTAACGAAGGAGAGTGTTAGGCGAAGTGCCTTCATATGAATGTTACATTCAAAAGACAAGTTTTAGGGAAGACCCTACCCTTGCTAGAAATTAGATAAATTAATGCAGATCAGTTCCTTTTATTGAAGGTTAGTTCTCAATGTGATTTTTAAATGTCAGCAATAAAAAAAACAAATAAAGGTTGCAAAACAATTTTCCCTGGTAGCTCATTTCCTTAGCACTGGTATGACTATGAGCCTAATGAAACTCTTAGGTTAAAGACCATAAAAATATATGCATATTTCTTAAAGAGAAGAATAATTATAGCTATTTTTTCCATTTACTAGTGCTGCTTATACAGAACTATTTTATTTAACAGAAATGTGATAACACTGATATTATTTTTTTTCCCAGTAGTAAACTGCAATTTTAAACACATCCAAATTTTCTTTAAAGTTTTCTAGGAATGGGGTAATAAATAAGATGTTTATATTTTGTGATTTAATTTTATTATCAGTCTTTAATCAATGAGTAATAACATTTTTTCTCTGTAAGCTGGAATACACCCAAATTACCTATAATGCTAAGAATATTCTGTGGAGAAGAAGGTGAGAAGGCAGTTTATTGATAGCTTTATTTGTGGAAAGTGATATGACCTGAGTCTTACAGTCCCGTAGTATGAAAATATAAAAATATAATATGGAAAAATACCATCTTGCACACACGATGTAAGCAATCCCTCAGGTGTATCCATCACATTTACTTCTGTGCCTTTGCAGAGTAATATGCATATCCTAGCCAGACGTGTCTGGCTAAAAGACAGCATGAACTGGCTGAACAGGGGGATGTACCTGTTGTATAGAATGTGGAAATGCTTTACTAGCAGAGGAACAGAGTATTTTAGTGATCACAATCTGTGTAAAGCTCCTAAAAAATCTGTGAAATGCAAATTACATTTAGCCAGTGTGTCTTGTAACAGATTTGGATTATGAAATGATACACGATACGTGACACTGTAACCTTGGCCAGTTCATAGGAAGGAGCATGCCTACACACTGCATGATGAAAGCAGAATAATTCATTCAAATTACCTGCATTGCAGCTGAGCAACTCTTTAACTCCCCTGAAATCCTAGAGCCTTTAATGCTACCTCTCAACCACGTAGAAAGCCAGTTGTCACAAGATCCTATAATTCATTTCTCATGCAGTACACTGGAGACAAATTACTGTCAGTACTCAGTACTGCAGTTTTTATCATCTTCTAGAACAAAAGATACAGGTTTGGGATGAGGTTTTTTCCTTTCTTTTTTTTTGTTTTTCCTCCCTCTGGGGGAGTAAAACAGTCAGAGCTTTGTCAGCCTTTTTGGCCATGAACCTTAAAGAACTCACTCAGTTTAGCAGCCCTAATATCTTTGCAGCACTATAAATAAAGATATGTTTTCCCAAGGTAGGCAGCATTTCAGGAGCAGATACAGAAGAGGGAAAAAAAAAGAGAGAAAGCAAACAATGATGGTTGAAATTGGGCAATCACCAACCTGACCCCTTTGACATTGAGACCAGAAGCTTGCTATAAATTATCATTTTATTGAAGAGGGAAATTATATTTGTTATGCACCAAGGTAGCTTAGACAGAGATATTGCACGGCATTTCCTAGCACCATCCCTGACCTTATTTTGCCAAGTTATTTTAAATTAAAAGAGTCAGACTTGGAGCAACAATGGCTGGCAGTTGTTCCTCTGCATTAATTGATGCTTCAGAATGAAATTCAGAGGGAAAGTGACTAAGATTTTTTTCACTTTGTTTCCCATCAAAAAAGGCTACTTGCTTTTTCTGTAAGATGAAATCCCTTACATTTTCTTTACAAGAAAAATAAATATCCCTCACAATCACTTCCATTCCTATACTGCTTTATATCCATGTGCAACACAAGGATTCATGTGTTACGCTTGCTCATTTTCATGTCCATGTTTCAACCTTGTTCCCATGGGCTTCATTGTTTGCTTTGCAGTAGCATTGCCCCTTAGAGCAGCAGAGCTTCAGTATTGCTGCAGGCTTCCTAACATTACAGCCCTGCAAATGTCAAATGGTGTTCCGGTGAAGCCTGATGGCTCATTTGCTTGGATCTTCCCCCTCCAGGCTCTTTCTAGCTTTCTCTTCTTCTTCCCTCCTCCCTCAAGAGCCTGATGCCTGGCATATTTCCCAACTGCATTAGTCATGCCAGAAGCGGAACCTCATATCCTCAATTGAGCTGGTTCCACTGGCTGCCCAAGAGCCCTTATGAGACCAACAGACCATCCAGCTCTTATAATTTTGCTAGAAACACACCATTTATGGATGGGGAAGCAGTAATTGTGTATTTCAAGTGTTCTTTCTGAGCTTTCAATTGTGATAACTGCAAGATTTGTTTGGTGTAAACATGAAATTTAAGGTTGCTGTTTAAGTGTTTTTAGTCCTATGGACTTCAAACAAGCTTCGATAATCCAGAACCTTATATTTTTAAATGCAAAACTGTTTGTACTTAGCTGTCAGCATACATGTTATCGCTCAGGAGAGATCCTCTAACTTTTATGTTATAGCTGTTGATACTAAAGTTAGTGAGAAATCTGGAAAATAAAACAAAACCAATTGCCCCATAATTCTCTACTTATTATCTCTTCATGAAGAAAAAAATCAGAAGGAGTTTGGTGGTCATAAATAAAAAACATAAACCCTTTCAAGTATTTTTCTGCATATTACTCCCTGTAAATGTGTCTGCTTATAACTTCATGACAATGACAGAGAGATGGATAACTATATGCAGATATGTGACTAAGAATCTTACATTAACCTCTACTGATCTTCCATAACTTTTATAAATTAAGTGGAAATAATTCCACAAGCTTAAAGTCCATCTTACCAAAACAGTGGTGGTCAGGGTGGGAAAGAGGGATGGAGAAAGAAAAGTGGGTCAAGGAAATACATGTTTGTCCATTAGGAGGGCTAGGTACACACTGTTAAAAAAAAATAAAATGTATTAACACAATTTTTTAACACCTAAATCTGCAAAAAAGAAGGGAAAAAAATTATTTTCTTTTTTTGTGGTTTAACTTTCAGATAGTGCAAGAAAGATACAGAGGATGCTATGAGGAGGACAAAAGGGATGTAGAAAATTGTTGGAGTCCATCAAAGATGCTATCAAAGAACTGTAGCAAAGAACAAAGCTGTTCGTGTGAATTAGCCACACTAGAGACAACCTTCAAGCACATGTTATATAAAAAGCCCAAAAATGTCATGGCTGTTATTAATTTTTATTCTAAAAATATCTTCTAGCTGTTTCCCTAGTAGGAAAAAATAAGATTTTGAAACATGAACCAATGTAGAGCAATTTTTAAGCTTTAATTTTGGTCTGTTCAGGAACCTGAATCTAATCTATACAGGAACCTTTGCCTGTGTCCTAATCATATATGCAGGTCGTATTAAGTGATGCAACTAGCACTTTTCATCTTATATTTCTTCTTTAGCCTCTTCCAAGAGAAACTTTCACTAAAATTTAAAAAAAAAAAAAAAAAGAAGAAGAAATGTGTTGGGTTCCTTGACTGGAAATGAGTGTTAGAGACTTGGACAAGTTCTGAAAAAGTTTTGACTCCTCCAGAAACAAATAAAAATGGCTATAAAATCAGAGGTCTCTGAGTGTCTGACTGGAATGAGGCACAGTCTTCTGTTGCTAATTGGAACAAAATTTCTATTATTTTCTATTAGTACACAAGGCATAAGGCTGAGAGCTAATAACAATTAACATTGCCTGTCCCACACAGACTATTAGGAAAATAATATTTATTTGGTCTATTTAGAAGTTGTTCTTATTACAAGATTTTTGTGGCAATTATTTATTAAAAAATTTGAAAATATGCTAGGTTCTATCCATCTTTAAGCCATAAACCACAGTGCAAAAGGAGTCACACGACTAAGACCCAATCTATATTTTGAATAAAGCAACTCTTTGAGCACCAGTAGCAGCTCTCCAGTGGCAATTGAAACTTTCTAAGACTCTATGAGCAGTAAAACAAAAATATTCATACTAGAATTAGATAACACATTTTCATCAAAATATACTGAATCCTGAAATATTGCTAAGGTGTACTGATTTTGCTGACTTTTTCAGTAGAAATTATTGCAGATATAGGAATTTTTATCACTTCCAGAAAAACAGAAAGGAGACATAGGCAGACACACAGAAAAACACCACCCTTTTCAATCTGAAAGTAGGCTTTATAGGACAGGTCTATTTTGTAAAAGAAAAAAAAGAAAAGAAATTGCAAGATCAGATTTCCATCATAGTCGACAATAACAATAACAATACAATCTTCCGCCGCAGCAGAAAAATTTCCAAAAGAAATTATTTAGACATCTTTCTGACTTTTTTTGTTAGTTTTATTTTTGACCAATATCTTTACCATGTTTCTCAACTATTTAACAGTTATAATCAGTTTTACATCTCTGTGGAAAGTAGTCATAACTATATGCCTCTCAGCTGTTATACCAGCTGCACTGGCATCTGGATGCCTGTCTTACTGACCTGAAGACAATAAAAGACAATATTCAAACAGGTTAATATCTTATCTATGTCTTTGACTGTATTCCTCCCGAACACATGCATGCTTTGACTTTTACTTTAGCAACTCCCAATAAATATTACAATTTATTAAATGCTTCTAAAGTTCACTTGATTTCAGAAGATTATATCTTTCTGAAGGTAAATACAGGGAAAACATCAATACTTGGACATGATGCTTTGCCTTAACTAGAAATTAAGGGAATCCAGACACCCATTTTGAAACCAGATGTTCACAGAAGAGGCTACCAAAAAAAGGTAATCTTGAGGCTGACCTGCTGGAGCTGACAGCAGAACTAAGAATCAGCTTTTGTTTGTGTTTACTATGAGGACCCTCTTCTTAGATGATTTAAGTTCTGTGGTTACCTGGTAACCTCCCTCTCCAGAGTCACTATTCTAAAGGAAGAATTTCTAAGCAGTGAAGAAAAATTTATCATATGTCCTAAGGTATCCAAGTTCTGTTCTTTTGATAACTTTTGTGCACTCTTTAATAATGACACAAAGAGGTTTTCCTTCCATGATTATAGCTAGCAGCATAGTAAAACAGAGGAGTGTTCTGAATGTTAAAGTTTTATTGTTGTATAAGGAGCAGGATGATCAGACAATCCAGAATGTAGTACTTGGCTTCTGGGCTGGAGCTCCACATGGGACAATTAAATATCTTAAAATGATATTTGAATTTTTTTTACAGATTCTTTACTGCCTGGAAAGCTTAGTTGCTAGTATGTATATTATAAGTAAGTTGATTACTTAAATAGTCATTAAAATGCAGTTTTGGAAAAAAAAAAAAAAATTCTTAGCTTGTTCCAGATTACAAAGAGCCAGAACTTGAGTCTGTATCTTCTGCATACTCAAAAGGATGAGAATGAGGAGGAAAGAACTTTTAAAATAAATTCATTTGGGAAGAGGTCAGCAGGAGATAAGGAACATTTATTCCTTTATCAATTCAAGATAACAAATTTATTTTAAAAAATTATGCCTGATATAATTCTGATCTCGGTGAAGACCTTCTATGTTTGCCCTCCTATATTTGCCCTCCTATATTAAAGGCCTAAATGGCAGCAAAGATGACACAATTGTCATCAGTTTCCAATAAACAGGGATGTTTATGAGCCAGAATACAATGCCACAGAATGAAAAGAGATTGCAAACTCACCCACGATACATAGTTCCTCCTAAACTACAATAAAGGATGCAACATCTTAGTGTTTCAGGTTTTGAAAGATGGTTTTTTGTGTTTTCTTCATATTTTGAAGTTTTGTTTCAATTTGCTTCTGATGGGAGGAAGACAGAAGTTTCCCTCTGGTTTTGGGGTTTTTTGTTTGTTTTTATATGTGGGTTTTATGTTTATTTGTGGTTTTGTTTATTTGGAGTTTCTTCATATTTGACTACAATTTCCTTTATGAAAGAGAGAAAATTTCTGGAATAAAGAAAAGATGAGTGGGAATAATTTCCTTTTGTTTCTTGAAACATTTCATATCCTATGATAGTGCTAAGAACCACAGTTAAGTTCTCTTCCATTCACCTATTCACCCCTCATTTCCTGCACTGTCAGTCTCATTTATAACAAGAATTAGAGCTAATGATAAACACAAAAGATGAATAATTAATAAATTAAATAACTAGCACTAAAGACTGGATGGAGATATTTTATGAACTGTGAAAAAGACTCATCATTTTTAATGACTGAAAATTCATGTACTAATTTTTTTTGTCCTAATGAGAATGTTTCTAAGTCACTGAAACTACATCTCAGTTAAAAATATATCAAGAGAAAGTTATTAAGTGGTTTCTTGTTGTCAGTTTCATAACATTACACAATGTCTGTTAAATTTATCACGCTATTAAAGTAGCAGTGGAAAGCCACAAGAAGTAGTTAACTGGCACAATCCTGCTGCAAACAATTAGCCTTCCTGAGGTAAAGCTCCAGGGAAATGGTTGGTTTTAAACAGTCAGCTAAATAGTTATTCCGTGTAAAATCTTGAGAAACTGATCTTTGAAGACTAGTTTTGCTAAGGACTTCACCTCAGCAAAATCTGTATTTAATTTTTTGCTTCTGACTTGATTTTTAGTGTAAAGTAGGAAGCAGAACTACTTAAGAAAAGATATTTTGGTACACTGTTAGCAGAAAATGATGTCTGTTACCGTTTTATTTTTTTTTACAGGAAATATGTCTCTGATGAATTTTCTTGTTTTCTTAGTAAAACATGATTAGATTCTAATAAGTACGGTTTCTTTAGAGTTTTGGGATTTGCCAAATTAAAAATCCTTATTCAAACAGTCAGAAACTTTTAAAACAAATGCTAACAATTGATTTTTTAAAGATGCTAATAGTTTTGGTGCAATCAAAGAAAAGCTTTAAAATTTAAACAAAATGAAAACAAAGTATCCATCTCTCAACAACTGATTGTGTTTCCTGTCCCTATCTCAGCATTTATTGATATTTGTGCTATAATAAGTAGAAAATTTTCAAGAATTTACAGGTGGAAAAAATCAAACCTTTTTTTCCTTTATCCAATAGATAATCCATGGAAACCCAGTAATGAGATCAATCTGAATATACATTTCAGTAATGTCTGTCAAACATACCTATATTTGCTATTATATGTTGCATTACCATTTCTTCTATATTCTGCTGGAGCAAAACTTCTGAAACAAGGTGCATGGCCTCACCTATGATTATATACAGGCTCTTCTAGTCTCAGACTAGAATATGAGTGTTGCAGAGATACACACCGATGTCTCCCACCCACTCTACCTTCCAGAAAAAAAGTATTGTAGTTGCCACAGCCAAATCAGATATTCTTATGCTGTAAGTTTACGTCTGTATAGCTTTCCACATTTTTCTCTCAGTGACTCTTACACATGTACTTTCCACACATTAAACAGTTCTCTCTGCAGCAATGCAGAGAGAACTCTTGCAAGGAGAGAGAGAGAGAGCAGGCAACAGAGCAGAGAAAGCTCAACAGAAACAGGGTAAGAACTGAATGCAGAGTAGAGTTAAGTTTGTGATGATGTTATACTGATGTGTAGTAGAGAGATTTTGATTATATTTTGGTTTGTTGAAGATTGCATGTTGATTAGAGTTTTTCAAATTGTTGTGATATGTTTAATTTCGCATGAGCAAGGGGGTGGAGAGTTGTAGTGGGGAAAAAAAAAGTGTTTTTTCCCCCTGGAGTTAAAAAAATTGTAACCCCCAAAGGGGTGGTGTCTCTCTTGGTGTTGATCCAATCAACGCTCATGCAAAATCTAAACATATCACACCAGACCGGAAAAGAAGGATGATGAGGTAGTTGTTGGAGAAGAAGTGGCCATGTTCTGAGACCAAGAGGGGAGAAGGGGCAGGAGCCCCACTGGGAGGTCACGGCCCCCCACCCCCTGGGATGGGGCTACAAGAACTTGGAACAGTGTTAAACTGGGCCGAGTTCTGTAGCTGAGAGCTGGAGGAAGTTTCTCCACTCTGAGTGGACAGCAGGAGATACTGAAAGCAGCAGCGGCGTAGCAGTGGATGGAGAACTGTGGCAGAAAGCCAAGAGATAAGAAGAAGCAGCAAAGCCAGCATGCAGCCAAGCAAGAAGACACAGAGATCTCTAATGGAGAGGGAGAGAGAGGACTAAGCTCTACAGAGAGAGAGTTTTGGGGTAAGAACTGAATCAAAAATCCCCCAAAACCCCTCTAAGACCTCTTAGAGAGGAGGGGTGGTGGACTCCCACTTGAGGGGAGTCTTGGATTGCAGCAGTACCGGAGAGAGGAGCTGAGAAGCTCAAGAAGTCCTGGAAGCTGGACCAGGATGGCCAGATGGAATGCAGAGGGGATGACCTTACCCCCCCCACTGCTGCTGCTGCCAGGCTGGCAGCCTGAGACAGAGCACAGGAGCTCTCGTAGAACTCTTGAAGCAAAGACTTCCAACTGAAAGCTGCCCAAGACTCAGGGGTAAATCCCCTGAGGAAAGGGACCGTCACGAAGACCCCTGCACTTCGTGATATGACGTGGTGAAGCAAGCCTGTCCCTGCTTTTGCAGTCCACACTTCGATTGGAGTTGAAGGACTGAGAGGAGTGAGAGAAGACCCCCTCGTATGTAATGGAAAGAGATCCAGCTATAACTACAACTATGACTGCTGCATGGAAGAAGAGAGACTGCTGCCCTGAGTGGAAAGGAACTTTTCCTTCTTCCCTTCTGGACTTTTACTGGAGGGAGAAGAGATTTGATCGATTGTAAATACTGCTTTATCATAGGAAAGATAGTTAGGATTGTATATATAATGTATTATAATATTTATTTGTGTAGTGATTGTAATATAATTCCTTTCCCCCCATATTCAGTCTTGTGTTGTGTTTGGAAAACACATCTCACACTGGGGTGAGATATGGGAGGGGGGCTTGGACTTGGGAATTGGATTTTTGGGGTCTCAAACTACCACAACAACTTAATGGATTGCATCTTCTTTTCCTGTACAAAGTGTGGAATATAGAGGATGAAGGATGATAAAATGTAAAAAATTTTTAGTTTTTGTTTAGTATAATCTGACTTCAAAATTACTTGCTATGTGTATAACGAAGCAATAGCAAGTACCAAATTATAAAACCATCATGTCACATCAGCTACTGCTTTATTTTAAATGAATATAAATGCACCTTATTGAAATATAAATTCACAAAAAAAGGAAGTAGTAATGTTTTAAAAATTAAGTGTCATAACTGTCCTTGTCAGGTTCTAGGCTGCCAATAAGTTCGATTTTTAATAAGAAGTCATGAAAAACACAATGCAATGACAGAACAATACCCGTGGTATTTAGACCATTAATATAATAATAATAATGGCCAGTCTTCGCGAACAAAGATTTGGGGAAAGGTCTTTTACCTTTCCAGCCTGCGCAATGGATTTTTTAGGTGAGACACAGCCTGTGCTGAACTGAGCCCACCCTTTAATCCTAAGGTTCATCTGCCGGGGCCAAGCAAGCTTGGACAATGGCAGTGAGGTCCTCAGGACGTAGGTTTGTTTAGAGTGACCTTCTCATAGATGGATGGCCTCACAGGGCTAACGGACTCCATCTGCCCGGGGGACTGGCTGGATTCGAACCTGGGTCGCAGAGGTGAGAGTCCTGCATGCTAACCACTAGGCCACCAGGGGTCCCCATTTAGACCATTACATAATTTCTAAATAACAGTATCACTGACATCAAATGCTATGAAACTGATTTTAAACAACAAAAAAAAATAGTTAATTTTCTCTGTTCTTTCTTTAAATTAGATTTATTCTCTATTACTTTGTCATTAACAATTGCATGAGAAACACGAATCTTGTTAATACAAACACAAACACAGCAGGTAGTTCTGAACGTGAGCCAGCAACACTGGTTTTCTAGGCATAAAAAAATGAATAAAGGACTAAGGAGCGACTGAGATAGAAACAACTATATTCAGTAGCATTCAGAAACTGAAAAGCTGGTTCATGCTAATATTTTACCTTGACAACAACTGCAGATTTGTCTGTATTAATATACAGACATCATCAATATGAATGAAAATAAAAAATATTAAGGAAAACTGTAGTATATAGTGTCGGAATTGAGCTACCGATTTCCAAGGAACAATTTTCACATTTTTCCTTGAATATTTAAGTTTTAGAAAAATATTCATTTTATAACAAAATTAATTGTATTAAATTAATTTCATAACAAAATTAATTTTATTAAATGATGTTAGTTATGTTGGGAACCTAAGTTCTTCCTGTGTTGTTACTCAGAGCTGCACAACAGAAATATCTCTATGTCCCTCCACGGGGTGTTGCTTTAAATGAGTAACATACACTGCAAGGATGAACTCAGCACGGAGATCAAACCTGTCATAATAGTGCTGGTGTGATAACTACACCAGTAATATCTGCATGATTGGTGTATTCATGCCAGACTTGAGAAACAGAAGTGTGTGCCTTTCTTAGTCTGATACATATTCTATCTTCAAGGATGATTTGAGTGTCAAAGCAAAGTTTAAAGTAAAGGGACCTCATGAACTTGTACTTACAGAAAGGTAGCTTTGCAAGGCTTCTTATCTCTTGGACTAATATTCTAATAACAAAAGTGTAAACTCCAGTATCTCTCTTCATAATATTTTACAGAAAGAGTTTATTGTTTGAACTCCAGGGGAAGATTGAGACCAATGTATTTGCAGTTCAAACTATGAATTTAAACCTCAGTGTTGTAAATGTTTAGGGATAGATTTATAATTGCTTAGAAGTTGGTATTCCTCTCCATTCTTATTGTTTAACTCTCAGCAAGCATAAAAGAAAGAATTTGCTTGGTATCTACCACATTACCCTCATCAAATTCCAACAGAAATATTGCTGAACATTCATTTGATATTACATTTTTTACTTATCAGTAATCAATGCCAATGTTGACAGCCCTATATTTAAATTCTGAATACAGTAAAATTTTATGGAACTGCAAGCTCATTAATTTAGGAATTATTGTAATACTAAGCTAGTCAAAATATATTGTGTCTTTATAAAATTATCTATCTGACCAGGCAGGTAAAATCAATACTGATTTATTCAGCTAATTTTGCTAATATATCTAGATATGGACAGCATTTTTTTATGATTTATCTATCTATCTATCTATTTGAGCTACTAGTTACATGTCAAACCTTTGTATCCTTCAAGAAATGGAAACTGTAGGGTACAAATTGGCTTCACAAGATGCAGCTGGGATATTTGGAAAATCCTTTTTTTTCAGTTCTGACAATACTAGAGTGAAGGCAACTGAAGTACTATATTTAAGCTGATTTAAGTAAGACAGCTGGCTACAGACTGCCAGATTGGTACGGTTGTTTCTATAGTATCACACTTATAGTCTCTTCTGTTCAAATAGTTTACATTATGCCAATGGCTTAAATCAATATAAAATTTCAGAAGAATATTTTATTTATTATCAAAAGGATTTACCAGTGAAAATATTGCATTTTGTTCAAATGTATTTATTAAGATCAGTAAATTAATCTACAGACTTGATTATTTTTGATATATTGGGAGACCACTCTCATCAACAATAAAAGTTGTCTCACCTTTTTTTATCCTTGTGTTTACCATCTGCTGGTTTCTGTTTTTCCAAATAATTTCTAAGAAACAAGGTGAGAAGCTTTGTATATAAGGTGCTGTATTTCATCTCTACCAGCTCCCTCTAGAAGTCAACGGTTCCCTTCTATTCCATAGTCTCAGACATGTTTTTCAGCAGAACCATCAGGGGGTGGATCTCTCCAGATATGTATGACTGTCTCAAGCTTTCATCTGAGAAGACTTAAAGGATTTTGTATGCTTGGCTAGTATTGCTTTGCATGCAGCATTCCATATAGACATCATCCCAAGAGTCTCCAAACCAGGAATTATACAAGCTGCTATCAACTGTAAAGCTAACATGCAATGAGTCTATTCCTTTTGCTAAGTATTTGACCAAAGACACATGAACTGTAGAACACTCTTGTAGCACTTGTATAGTTTGTACAGTAGTTTGTTAGTTTGTACAATAAATAAAAAATCTGAACATGATGAACTTCCTGATTATGTGTGGAACATCTGTTCAGTGTGTGTTCACCAAAGAGGAGTCTAGACAGTGATATAGTACCTGCATTACCATGAAAGAGCATTTTAGCACCATATATTTTTTTTGAGGACATCACTTTAGGTTTTAAAGTCATTCATAGAACCACAATGTTGTTTAGGGTGAAAGGGAACTGAAGATCATTTTGTCCAACCTCCCTGCTCAAGCAGGGCCACTTAGAACCAGTTCCCCGGGACCATGTCCACAAAGCTTTTGAATATCTCCAAAGATGAACACTAAGCAACCTCTCTGGGCAACCTGTGCCAGTGTTCAATTACTTTCATAGTTCCTGAGAAGGAACCTCCTGGGTCTCAGTTTGTGCCCATGGCCTTTATCTGTAAAAACCTTCCTGAAGGCTCAAAAACTGCCCAGAACACTTCACACATCTGAATTGACCACTGAAATGTCTTATGCCTTCACATATATAAAAACTGAAAGCCAAAATAAAACAAAAAACCCACAAAATCCCAAAACCAAACAAATAAACCACACAGACACACACCAACCCCAAAAAACAAACAAACAAACCAGGATTTCCTTCAATTTCTAATAGCAAAACCACCTGCAATTTTAAATAGGCTAGTGTGTATGATTTATATTGTGCTGTGCACTTTGGTCTCAAACATTTATCCATGTTCTAAAATATTTAGTAGATGATGTAACTACACTACTGTAATTCTTTTTGCTCCTCTGCATTCTCCTACTTTTCTACTCTTTTCTTGAAATTTTTGTATGTGATGCCTCATATCATTACATGTAGTGGATGTTGTCTTGAGGATAGCAGGGCCCATCCCTGCCAGATCCTCAAAAAACTCACTAAAATCTTATTTTTTTTTTCTGTCTATGTCTTATTAATAACACATATTAACATAACAGCAGCATTACACCATCGATGTTTAAGAGAACAATATTGTACAAATAAAGACCAGTGTGGTTTATTCACTGCTCAGAGTACTAACCAGGAAAGAATATTTAATAAATATAGTTTGGAAAATGATGTTAGGGAAAAAGTCTTGCAAAAGAACTTTCTCCAACACACCTCCTTTCAATCAGTCAAAGTAGTCATATGTTAGTCCGTATCAGTTTGGAGATAGTCAGTAAGAAAAATCTTGTCATCATTATCTTGATAATGAATAATCTATACTGGTTGTGTTTAGTGTAGTATTCTTTGAAATCTCCATTGCCTTACATGCAAACACACATACACTCCTGCAAAAACATACACTCTCACATTCAAGTGTGTAAGAAACCTTTCTACTGAAACTCCCCAACAGTTAAATATATCAACATAACCCCTTTGATTCATCAATCATTACATAAGACTTGTACACTCTGAGTGCAGTCTTGCTAGACTATCCAGACAGCAGACAAGCTATCCAAGCATATCCAGACAGTAGTCTTTCTGACATACTACGTTGTTTCTTTACTTTTGTAGATTATAATAACATTCCTTCTCATGTAAATTTTTTGTGTTCCTTAGGTTTCATATATAGTTGCTCACT